TATAATATAATTTATGCTCCAAGTCGAAAGTTCTCTTGCTGCTTCTAAGAAGTTTCATGTAGAAAACTTGAGCAACCACTCAGTTCGCATAGAACATGAAACTAAGGATAAATACCGTGACATTGAATGTATAACTGAATATCATTAGACTTAACGTGATTCTATGTATTATAATACCCTACGAAAAATTGTAAATTCTACAGAAGAGCTAGATATAGTGGGATTCAGGTGTGACAATGTTGTGGGTGTTGTTTGATGCTCCGAACGAGTTAAAGTCAAAGTCAAAGTTAAAAAGCCAGGGTCAGACTGAGAGTTTCGTTATGAACTGTATGCCAAGGTTTGACTTGAGGTCAGGGTTCATGGCAGCTGACCAACTCATATTATACAATGGCTGAATTCAATGCGCTTTTGTTGCTGTTCTGCTTTCGTAATTAGCTGTTTGGTCATTTATATATTTGTACTATTTATACAAGCTATATGGGCTAGCGACAGCCAGAAAAACAATAAATTTGCTGACAGTGGCTGCAACAACCCCAACTCTCTGGCCCCTTCGCTCTGCCTCTCGGCTCATTGAATGTGAAGCTGAGCTGAAAATAAAACAAACAAAACAAAATGAACAGAATTACAAACGTTCTGTCAGAGGTCGCTTGGTCAGCAGCTGGTCACAGATAAAGATAAAAGCGAATGCGAATACGAATGAGTATTTGGTGCTGCAGATGCTCAGAAGTGTAAACCGTCCGTTGGAGCTCGACCTAAAGACCTATGGATACGTTAACGTACAGATCTACATACACATATACGCGCGCGTGCACACGCACACACATTTAGCCTATTCGAGGGCTGCCTCTAAAATAACAATGTTGTGCGTCTAGTGAAAAGTTATGGACACATATGTATTTATTTGAATAAATATTTATATTACATAGTGTTTTTTTTAATGTATTTGTGTGACAAGGACAACCTAAGTGTGACCAGCTAGAATTCGCATTTTAAAAGTTTGGCATGATTTGCATATTCGTATGTTATCAAGGCTCGTGTTGCTCTCTGGTGCGGGCAGGACCGTTCAATGTGACCAGCTTCTATTTCAATTTGAATAGTTGGCGTTTTTTATCGCTGTCCACAGATTACGCAACTGCGTGTAAAATTTAAAACTAGGATGAATAGCTTTGCATTATGAAGTACATTTATTAATTGCCTGAAATGTTCATGTTCCAATGCAGAATAAACACAGCTAAGTAAATGATAAAAATGAAAAATACAAAAATAATAGGAATAGTCAATTTATTATCTAATTCTAAAATAAAAAAATAAAAAAATACTTTCATAAATACTCAAAAAACTGCTAAATGTTTTTAGTTAATTTGCCAAGTCTGGCAGCGCCTCCATTCAATTAGCGATGAAATTAAGCGCAATAAAATATAAGTAAGTTTAAACGGTAAACTCAAAAATTTACAATAAAACGTATTACTTTATTATATACTAAATGAATTGCAAATAATTTGCCATAATATTTATGTATACTTTAACAGTAAACTAGAAAACATTGACAGCCGAAAATGTATTACTTTTGATTTTTTTTATAATTTAAGGGTAAACAAAGTGATGGGCATTTGCTAGTTGAACTGACGCACATTATTAAGGGCAGACCTCGCAGCAGCCACACATGCTTAATATTGGTTTAGATCGCACTATAATTAACCGTTGTCACGCACTTTCCCAATTATGATATCCCCCTTTCCCCCTTCTCTTGACCATTAAGCTCACTATTATTACAGCAACAACATTTACTATTTTACAGCAACAACAACAAGCCCAATGGTGGCGGAATTGAGATTGGCCAGAACACCATATATAATATTGTGCTGCTGATCGTGGACATTGTGCTATTGGTGTTCAAATTCTGGCTGACGATTATACAGGAGATCATCAAGATATTCAGTACGCGGCCATTGGAGCATGTCAATGGCAAGTTGGTATTGATCACTGGCGCCGGCCATGGCATGGGCAAGGAGATGGCACTGCAATATGCTAGCCTTGGCGCCAAGGTCCTCTGCTGGGACGTCAATGAGCAGACCAACACACAGACGGTCAAAGAGATCAAACAGGCGGGCGGCACAGCCCACGGCTATATCTGCAATGTGGCCCGCCGCGAAGAGGTTTTGGAGTTGGCTACCAAAATACAAAAGGAACATGGCTTCGTTAGCATTGTGATCAACAACGCTGGCATTATGCCATGCCATCCGCTGCTCGAGCATACGGAACAGGAGATACGTCTCATGTACGATGTCAATGTGGTTGCTCACTTTTGGGTATGTCTCTTCTCTCGCTCACACACAGTCTCCTGTCCTCTCTAACTCTCTATCTCTCTCTCTCTCTGTCTTGCAGATCATCCAGGCCTTCCTGCCCGCCATGATTGAGCGGAACGAGGGCAACATTGTGGCTCTGTCGTCCTGCGCCGGTCTCTTTGGCCTGGCCAATTTGGTGCCCTATTGCGGCACAAAGTTCGCCGTACGTGGCTACATGGCAGCCCTGGCTGAGGAGCTGCGAAAGCAGAATCCGCTGTCCAAAGTAAGTCATATATATGAGTAAATATATGTAGACTCCTTGTTTCCACTAAGCTATGGATCGTATTAATTTTCTGTCTCCTTTCAGATCAAATTTACCACCATCTATCCGTATATGATCGATACGGGTCTGTGCAAGAATCCGCACTATCGTTTCCCCAATCTGATGAAACTCATTTCGCCCAAGGATGCGGCCGCGTCGATCATCGAGGCCCAGCGTCAGGGTCTGGAGGAGGCGGCTATACCTCGCCATTTTGTGGGTGTTGAGAAGGTGAGCCGCATAATACCCAGAAAGGCGATGCGATTGGTCAACGATTTCCTCGATACGGGCGTTGATACCGACAAGATTTAAGCCAAAACTAGAAATTAAAACAAATGAAACCAAAAAGAAAAACTAAAGGTAGAACGCGGAACTTCCAATGATAATTTTAAGTCTCAACAGCTTCATCGAAATTCCTTCTTCATTTTTTTTTTTTTTTTTACTATTTTTTTCATTTTTCTGTGGATTTTATACATATTTTTATATTTGTCTACTTATACAAGATGTGAATTTAGCGAGCTTAAAGGTTGTTACTTAATAAACAGTTAGTTATAAAGATCATGAATTTAATTGGAGTTTGTTTTATAATTATGTAAATATTATGATAAAATCCGTAATGATATGGATGATATATATAAATAAAATAATACAATAATATAATGGTATATAATTAATGTTAGATGATAATTATGATGGTGAAGGAGATAATGATGATGATGATATTGTAGAGGCTGAAGTGGATGACAAAGAGGATGATTGACTTTTGGTCAAAATGTCGAGGATGATGATTGATTGATGATTGATGATTGAATAGCGGAAACATTGCTGATCATCAAATTTGTATTAAGTAATATCATTATCATGATCATAATGGTCATGGTTGGAATATCAATAATGATATTTATAGTGATAATAAAAATAGTCATACGAACAATTCGTATAATGCAAACCCTCTGCATAATAATAGTATCGATTATGATATTATTGATAAATATTGATATCATTTAAATGAAAAAAGATCAATAATTCAGCTTTTTTTCGAATCAATAAAAAATCAGATCTCAAAAATGCTTTAGCCTAGCCATAACTTCGCATACCAAGGGAAATAATTTTTGACTTGATTGCGACCCAAAGCTATTATCAATTCTAGATTGTGCCATTAAGCTGAGTCAGACTGAAAACATTTTGAAAACACTTAGGTTTATAGAACATTAAACGAAAGATTGCTAATTGCAGTCTCAATTAAGATCAGACTTATTTGAAAGGGGATTTCATGGGAAACACGTGCAGGTTAATTGGAGCATATTTCAGACACAATGGCTAATGTCTAATGATACGTTATGTGCATAAGTACATGCTGATCTAGAGCTTATTTTCTTGAGTGCTTGACTGACTGTTCGATTCATTGAGTTAAGGTTCTTAAGCTTGGGAAAACTAGAAATTCTCTAAGCAGTTGGCAAATATGGATGTAATACGAGGCCTTATAAAAAATTCAGAGGTAATTACTGGACCAACTATTAGATACGCTATTAGACATTAATCTTTAATTAAAGCAAAACGTAAGTATATATTGTGAATATATAATATAGAGACTATATTATAAATACATATATATTTATATTAAGGATCAATATATACTACTACATATACTACCCTCGCATATGGCTTTTGACTAAGGACTTTTGCCTATATACCTTCAAGCTCCCCAATTCAATATATGCAAATCAGTCAAACAGTTCTACATAGATATATATTTGATATCATATGTCTTTCAACTTGAGCAGCGAACAGAGAGAACAGAGATTTAGTGGATTATTTTTTGCCTTTGGCTGCTGCTGCTTTGGCCGCTGCTGCCTTGGCCTTGGCCTTGGCCGCGCGCATTTCTCTGGCCTCCTTGGAGGTTATGGAGCCGGGACGTTTCTTGCGTGCCTCCTCGAGCTTGGCCTGCTCGGCCAGATTGTCCAAGTAGAGCTGCTCGAAGTCGGTACGCTCCATGACTTTCTTTTCGGCGGCCCGCTTGCGATCGACAGCCTCGAGGGTCTCGTGGAACGTGGCCAGAGCCACGCGAAACTGTTCGTCGGACTCGATCATCTTGATGAACTGATCGGGATTGTCGGGATCCAGCTCTAGGTCGGGCACCACTGGCGGTGCTTCCTCAACGATGGCGGCGGCCTTCGACTGGCGTTCCTCCTCCTCCATAATGAGTGTGCGACGACGCAGCTTGATCTCATCAACGCGCGCCTCCAGCAGCTTGCTGCGTGTAATCTCCCGCTCGAACATCTGAATGGGTTGGCCGAAGAATGACGAAGGCGGGAGGAAGGGGAGAGGAAAATAGGTAGGAACAAAGAGGTGAGATTAGAAGAGATTGGGATTAGCATAAACTGAAGTTCGTTAGCTTACTGCCGCCATGAGTGCCTTCTCCTTGCTGGTGGTCTTCTTCATGGCCTCGTCCAGATTCATGATATGCGTATCGCCATTCGCCAGCGAAATGGCCAAATGCTGCCCGCCCGGCTGAAAGACAACGGCCGTGATGGTTGAACGGAAATTGATGCTATAGATGGGCTTGCGTTGGCTCAATAGGAAGTCCCAAAAGTCAACAACGCCATCAATGTCCCCAGTGACAAACAAGGAGGCGCGTCCACTGCTCCAGGCGCCGCACATTAGCTGCGAGCGCTTCTTCACGTACATGGTACTCGGACGATTCTTGACCTCCTCGCACCAGATGCGCGCACGCCAGTCCCCGACAATGACGAAATTCTTCACGAAGAACGGATTGCGATGGATCGTGCGAATCGGCCCGGCACAGATCATGAAACTACCGACGAGCATCTCGACGGGATTCAGACCCTTGCGATTGCCCACGAAAACGCTGCCCATGTCGGTGCCAGCTATAAAACGAACCGGAATGGTATATTCAAACTCCAGAACTGTGCAGCCGTGAGCATTCTGACGGTTTTGACGATTGCGCGTATACGGTTCGAGAACGATCTCATTGGCTGGCATCTTGAGATCTCGAATGTCCCAGAACTTGATCGAACCATCCAAAGAGGCCGAGTAGAATTCTGTATTCGATTTGGAATACACCCAAGTCAGGGAAGAAGTTTGCTCACGATGTGCCGCCTCCATGGGGCACGTACTGATGCACATGCCACTCTCGAAGGTCTCCCAAATGCAGACCTTGCCCGTATATGTGCCAGCTGCCATATTGTTCTCCTCCTTGGGACAGATCTTGGCGCACGATATAACCTCCGGGCTGTCATAGTAATACAAGGGCTTAATGGGGTTCTTAACATCCCAGACGTAGAAGGCATTGGTGCTGCCATTGCTATCATCATTGGTGACCATGCGACGGTTCTCGCCTCTCAATGTATACAGATTGCTATACTGGGTCATGATCTGTCTGTTTTCATTCGGCATCCAATTGATCACGGCCATGTGACGCTGTGGCTGCCACATGTCGTGAATAATGTTGATGGTGCGTGACTTGAAGGGCATGCAAATGGTGCGACCCATATCGTGTGGCAGATCATCAAAGAAATGATCATATATGTTAATGGCATTGTTTTGGCGAGCTGTATTCATTGTGGTCCTAATGAGCTCCTTGACCTCATCGCCCCAAGCATCATCACGTTCGACCTTCTTGCGATGACGCAGCGTTTGCTCCTCGTCGTTCATGTTCACCTCCTTGGGCCAGCCGCCCTCATAATGAAACATACCATGCTCATCGTAGGTTGCATTCTCCGTTTCCACCTCACTCAATGCCATCACGGAGCTTAGCTGCATGCCACGTGTCTGCGGATTACCCATGATATATTTGAGGCGCAGACGACTGCTCGGATGTACGCTGACCATTAGCTCGTTGCGATCCTCGAAGACGCATTGGCGGCCAAAGCGACGACGCTCGCGCGTCAATACCACCTGATTCTGAAACATGACTATAAATATATGATAACGAATTAACTGTTAAATTCTTGTTTATTTGTATCTGCACTTCATAAATATCTGTTTACGATTGTATGTTACTTATATTATATAAAATTCTACAAATTTCTCGCACAAATATGAACATGAATTTTGTTGAGCTGTAACTGCCCTAGAGTGAAATCTTTTTCAAACTTCAACTGAGCTTTTTAAAATAACTGTCAGTGTGAATGGCTTGGAATTCTAGTAACATGATTGTCGAGTGCTGAGCTGTTATGTTCGCTGTGGAGCAAGACTGTTAAATGTGCTGCATGTAAACGCTATCGAAGCCTTAATTTATGAATGAATGAGCATAATTATTTTTCAATATTATATGGTATATGATGCCATTTAACTGCTCAACTTTATTGAACCAAAGTGCACCCTCAATTTGTACCATCATCTTCACTTAACATTAACAGATCAATTGGGCGGCAATGTTAAGTGTACAGAGTGAATTCGGCAGTGTGAATGTCAGCGTGGTTGCGGTCATACGTGAATGGCGCTCTATGGCGAGTACACAAATTCAACATCAGAAATTCGGTTTAGTGTCTCCTCCTGGTGTCGTCCAGATATAAACCGTATACCGCTGGATTAACCAGTGTGCAAGATGTCACCCAAATATACACACGCAATCGTTGCCAGGTGAGTGACAGGAAGTTGCCTGGCTAAGCTGCGCAGTGCAGCGCGCACCTGGACGGGGAAATTAGGTCATGTTGCCTAAGCAATGGCTCAGTGGTTGGCTTTGGGTGGGGCCAGGTTTAAGGGTTGGGGCAAACCAGCAAGCATTGTCACCCACGCATTGACCCCGTGCTAAGGCGTAAATTACTTCATTCATTCCCTCATTCATTCGCTTATTCACACTTGATTGTTGTTAATTCGTTTAATTCAAAATTTGCGTGTGATCTTCAGAATCTCCAATGCCTTGCTCGAAACGGGCGACTTTGATGTACAATTGGCGAAGCAACAACACGAACAATATTGCACTCTATTGCGTGAAATTGGCTTGGATGTGATCGAGCTGCCGCCGGATGATGCACTGCCCGAAGGCGTTTTCGTTGAGAGCAGCGCCGTGGTCTGCAATGGAGTTGCGCTTATTGGCAGATCGGAAAATCCGAAACGCCGCCGCGAAGCGGAGAGCATGGCCATCATTTTGAAGAAGGAGCTGGATATACCGGTTATCGAGATCGATGATCCTCATGCCCAATTGGATGGCGGCGATGTGCTCTTTACGGGTAACTGAATAAATTCAAGCAAATTAATCAATATATTCGCAATAACTGTAAATATCACGGTCATCGCTTACAGGGCGAGAGTTTTTCATTGGCATTTCTAGTTTCACAAACGAGGAGGGCGCCCGCGCAGTTGCCATGGCATATCCCGAATATCCAGTGACTCCTATAAGAGTGAGTTAGGGCTAGACATGATTTATATTCCGTTTAATCGAAAGTAACTTGATTTTATTTTTCGCAATAGGTGAATGGTTGCAAGCGCTTAAAGTACTATGTCACCATGGCTGGGCCGGATGTGCTGTGTGTGAGCACAAGTGCCACCTGCCAGGAGATTGTGAAGCGCATGGAGCGAGAGGCGAGCTTCACCTATCAGAAGCTCACGTTGCCCGAGGAGAGTGCGGCAAATATGTTGTATATCAATGGCACAATTGTGCACAGATCACCCGCTGAGATTCCAGAAGCCTACAAGGTATTTCCCTCACTGTTATACGGCTGTTATACACGCACTGCATTGCTCGATTTTATTTGCAGACTTTAAAAGAGAAAATCGACATTCCAACACGTAACATAAACATTAGCGAATTTAGCCAATTTTCCAGTGGATTGACCTCAGCGTGTCTTTTGCTGCGACGCTGGAAGTCCATACGCAGCATTTAAATATGCGAATCGTCGCACCGATCCCACATCCAACTATCTATCTATATAAATTGAATAATGTTATTTTGTATCTAAAGCGAACAAAACACGCACAAGCGCTAGTTTTCATTGTTAATGGCGCAGCAATATCAATATGTCAACTAATTAGTAATATATCATAAATATTTGTATTTAGCTTGCATCTATTGCAACATTTTTAAACCGTTATTTGTTAAACTTTAAGTAATATAATGTTAAAGTATTTATACATACACACAAACCTAACACAAACACACACACACACTGACACAGCCTTCGCACACATTCGTCTAAACCTTGTTTTACATTTAAATAGTTATTTAATTTATGACAATATACAAAAAAAAAAAACAACAAAATATCATATAAATTACATATTTTATCATTGGACTCTAAGTTGTGCGACTCCGTTGTCTAGCTAACGAATTACCTACGAATTGTATCTACTTTACAAGTAGCTGTTAAATGTGTTCACTGTACCGTAAAATATAAATAAACGCTAAACATTTGTAATTTCTTTACAAAACAATTTGTATAAGTATTTCGTGTTATTTGTATATTGATGCAGTGTAGACCTATATACATATAAAAATTCATACTGATAATATAGTGTCTACGACTTTAAAGATATGACGTACTTTCAGAATTATAGCTATTTCCCTATTTATTTCGCAAACTTCCCACATACGCACCCAAATACCTTTCCCTATATACTTCCACTTTCCCTATTGCTGCAGAATACATCATTTTAGTTGACTCTAGCTTTGTAAGATATTGACTAGCTAAGTAAATAATAATAAGTAACAATAAATTAGTTAACTAAATATCTGTTCTGTTATAGTTATTTAAATTTCCCATTAGCCACAGGACTGTAAATTACCCAAAAGATTTCCCTCTCATAATACTTATTCGCAAATATCCCCAAAAGCCTTTTCTGGATATGCCCCAAATATCCATTTTCCCATGTAAAACTTATCTTACCCGACTACGTAAATATCTCTATTTGGATACTTTATTGAAAATTTCCATATTTCCCCTCATTTTTTTTTTAATGAAATAAAAAAACAAATTGTTTTTAAAATTGCATTATTCGCACTTGATTTTAGTTAAATATACAAAATACATAATACACAAAAGTTTAGTTACTAAAATTTAACATTTTAAAAACTGTTTTAATCTTTAGATGAGTTCAGCTTACAGTTGACTTATTTGCTCGATGTTTCATGAAGTWATATATATGTATATACTATATAAATTTGTTGTTTTTCTTTCGTTTTTCATAATCTCTTTTTTTTTTTGTTGTATGCGATTTCTTAGGGACTATATATAGACATAATAAATAGATGTTATAGGAGTCAAGTGAGTTGTGTGAAGTATGTAATGCCAAATGAGTTACGCTAGACAAGTATATATGTCTACTTATATAGTATATATGAAGCATATAAAAGTACAAATGCAATATACAGTAAATATATATAGTTAAAAAAAAGCTTAGGCTCTATTGAGGAGAGGAATACTTTGGCATTGGCCTAGCAGCCAAGCACGGAGGGTTTGTCGTATCGTCTCTATAACTATGCCTACATCTAGTTATAGATGTATAAATATCTGTATAGTCTATATGGTCTATAGGCTAGTGTATAAGCTAACTAGGATTGTTTGCTCTAGGATCGATATAGGAAATGACGCTGCTTTGGCTGCTATCATCTTCCACAGTTTCATTGAGATGATCTTGATTGCTGCTCGAGTTGGGATTGGGATTAGAATTGGAATTGGAATTGGGAGTGCTGGAGGACGGATGCTGCAGCTGGGTCTCAGTCTTTCGCAATCTCTCGGCCGCTGTTGGTGAGCTGTGCGCCTCCTGCAGCAGCTGCTTGCAGCCCCTGAGCGGACTGCGGCACTTGATGGCCTCGTATAGCTCATCGATGGAGTTATTCATGGCCTCCTCGTCATCCTCATCCTCGTCCACGCCACCACGACTACGACTACCACCACCACCAACAACCTCATCCTCCTCGGTGGTTTCCGCTGTGGCCTCGCCACCACCAGCGCCTCCGTTGCCCACGTGCAGCTGGTTCTGATGCAGTGCATAGACGGCATCACCATTGGCCACAAACTCATCGTCGAACTCATTGAGCACATCCACATCCGCATCGCTGGCATTCGAGGACTGATAGCAACGGAAATCGTCCGTTAGTGTCAAATTCAAATCGTTGTCCGTCTGCGGCGCATACAGTCCGTGGCTGCGTATGCTGATCTCAGAGTTCTGGTAGTTCAGATCGCTCTCATTGGTCGGGCTGGCGGAGAGCAGGCGCGTGCTGCTCGGAAGATTGAAGTGATCCACTCCGCCGACGCCAGTGGGCCGGCTGCGTGCATTGTGCGTGGCTTGCAGCTGGGGCAGATTGCTGCTGGAGCAGGAGTACATCATCTGGGTGACCAGCGAATTGCCACTGCTGCCAGCCAGGGAGCCCAGAGTGTTGCCCTCCAGTGCAGCTGTTGCCGCGCTGCCATTGGCCTCCTTTGTGGCAGTGCCCGCGACGAGCATGTCGTGTATATTGTTCAAGGACTTGGACTGCTGCTGCTGGCTGTAGCGGATGAGCACGCTGGGAAAGTCATCCTCCAGGCGTATGCTATTGGTCACCTGCAGCGAGTTGGAGACATAGATCTCGTGCTTCTGCAGCAGCGGCTCCTCGGCAGCAGCCGCCTCGCTGCTCGCCGCCTCCGGCAGACCCAAGCTATTCATGGCCTCCAAGCTGGGTCGCTTCACGGGCGTGGAGCTCAGCGGCGTTGCTCGCTCTCGGAACACCTGCGCGTTGAGCTCGCTCTGCGGTGTGCCGGGCATTGTGTTGGCATACAGCGGCGCATGCTCATCCATGGAGCTGCCGTCGTCATCCTCGTGCGTGGTCAACAGCTCGTCGTCGTGCTCGTGCAGCGTCTCGTCCAGCAAGGATGGAGTGCGCAGCTTGATCACCTCATGCTGCGGCGTCAACGTCTCGGGTATATTCGTGTAGATGTTCGCTTGCAATATCTTGGAAGCGGGCACAAATCGCTTGTGCTGTTGCTGCTCCACCTGCGACTTGTAGTGCAGATTCGTGTTGTTCACCTTGCTGCCACCAGCGAGCAGGGTCATCGCATTGTGATGCCGGGCGTAGAGCTGCTCGGAGCTGGCGTCGCTCAAGCTGTGCTGGCTGTGCATCTGTTGGGGCAGCGCCTGGCGCTGCAGCTCGAAGTTGTTGCGCTTGGCCAGACGCTTCTGTTTCTTGAAGAACTTGCGTGCCACATTGATCTGATTGGGATTATAGAAGATTTCGGCGCTGGGTATGCACTCCTGCCCGTTGCCCACATGGAGTAGATGATGTTGTCCCGTCTGCTGGGAGACAGCGGAGGCTCCACTCAGCGTCTGCTGGCCATGATTATTGTTGATGATGGTTATAGACGTAGCCGAGTTGCCTCCCATTCCGCCTCCCCCTCCACCGCCGCCGCCGCCAACTCCTCCAGCCAACAGCTGCTGTGTGGTGCAGTCCAATTGGCCATTGCTGCGATTCTGGCTGCGCATGCTTCGGGCACTGCTGCTGCGCTGCTTATTGGAGCACTGGCTATTCGAGCGCGAGCCGGCCGAGTTGTTCGGCTCGTAGAGGCTGCCCGGACCCGCTTTGTAGGCGACAATTGAGTTGCTTATCATGGCAGCGCCTTGGCCAGCCTTGGCATTCGATGTGCCAGCGGCAGCTGCAGCTCGGGCCTGACTGCTTCCATTCCTTGCATTATTGTAGGCCACCAGTCGACTGGATCTGGCCAAGCGATGCTGGGCCCAGGCCTGGCGTGCATCGTTCCGGGTCAGATTGTAGAAGAGCAGCACAAACAGAGCCAAGGCCACACAGCTGGCGACAAAACTCAGCACGTAGAGCTCCTCCTCGCTGTGCACATAGAAGGCGGCCGATAGCCAGGCGCAAACGTACAGCACCAAGAAGATCAGGTGTCCACGCAGATGTGACATATTGGAGCGCTCGTAGTCATCCACAATGCTGCTCAACGGATTGCTCAGTGTGCTATACTGCTCCTGCAGCTGCAAGGCCGAGCTGCTCGCCTCCTGCTTGACRGTCGCACAGCCATTGGCGTCCAGCCAATCCAGATCAATGTGCTCCGTCGCCTGGGTATTGTTGTCCGAGTATTGACGCTGGCCGAGATGCTGCTGCTGCTGCAGCACATTCACCGCCTGCTGACTCAGCTGATAGTAAATGCAGAGCGCCAGGAAGCCACTGAAGATGAGCAGAATGCCGGCTGGCACCACCAACGCATTCAGCGTTGTCGAGTTGTGCAGGAAGCAGAAGCTGTAGGCGGCATACTCCGACATGTTGACGGCGCTGCTGATGCCACAGATGAGCAGCGCTATGCCCCAGCCAACCAGATAGATGCCCAGTATGGGCTTGCGCTGGTGCGGCTCCTGTGGCAGCTGCATGGGCAGCGACTGCTGTCCGTTCAGTGGCAGCGACGTGGCGGTCGTTGATTTGCTCAGCCGCTTGTACATGCTGCTCAGGCTGACGCACAGCCAGAGCAGCACACAGAGGCTGAGGTAGTGCAGCAGCAGACCAAACAGGCGGCAGTGCAGCAAATTCGTCGTCTGATAGATGCCCAGCATGAAGGTCAGGCAGAGTGTGGACAAGGCCAGCCAGGTGTTGACCAGGGCGTGGCGCTGCACCCGATTGATGCGTATCGCACAGCCGAAGACCACAAAGGTGACGATGTTGAACCAGGCGCAGCCGAACAACAGACCGCAGCCCACATAAATGGGCAGGGGGGCGTGCCGGAAGCGAGCGCCCGCCTGCTCGCTGCGATAGTCGTTCAAAAAGGCGGCCCGCTGCAGCAGTCCAAAGTAGCCGCTGCGACTGCTGCAGCTGAACATGAGCAGGGTGCGATGCTGATAGTGCTGCTGGCAGACGCGGGTATTCCATTCCTGTTGCTGCTCATCCCACCAGGCGGGCAGCGGGGCACTGCGCTCGTCATGATACGGATGGGCGCGCAGCATTATGGTTATGCGCTGCTGATAGACGTCGTCCTGCTCCAGATTCAGCTCCTCCTCGACTGCTGGCAGTGGATTATCGATGGGCTCGCCCTCGCTGTAGAGACGCGCTCCGACCACCACGGAAGACAACGTCTCATTCTGCCTGCTCTTCAGGTTGGGCAGCAGCTTGGCGTTGCGATGCAGCGTAATCATCAGCCGCAAATTACGCTGCTGACTGCTTGAGCTGTTGGCCGATGTGAGCTGCTCGCTGAGCACCTGGTAGGGCACCTGTATGGCTGCGTCGATGTCGCCATGCTCGTACATGGGTATCGTATCGTTGGCGCTGTTGCACTGCAGGCCACGCTGGCTGCCCTCGAGCCACACGCAGGACATGCTCAGAAATTGCTCCAGGCTGATATTGAAGAACTCCACGAAGATGTTGCGCTGCAGCATCTGGCGCCGCCAATCGCTTGCCTCGCCATCGCTGGCGGCCATGGTGCTGCTGGTGGCCAGTCGCAGCGCGGCGGCCTCGACAATGTGGAGCAGCTTATGGCTTGTGCCCTGCTCCAGTTGGGCGGCCTCAAAGATCTTGACCGGCAGCGTGAGCAGCTGTGAGACAATGTCCATTAGCAAGTAGCTTATTTCCTGCTGATGTGCGTCCAGCTGCTCGAGATATTTAAGCAATGTTCGTGCTATATACTCCAGGTCCATGGGATCTCTAATCTTGTGCAGCTGCGTCTGTATGTGTGTAAAGTTGTGCAAGCGCCTCGCAATTTCCAGCGCATTTTTACCCTTCGTCAGCGTTAGATTCACCTTCGCGAACTGCTCGAAGATGCGCGTCGTCTCGCTGACATAGACACAGCTCTCGACATTCAGGCGATGCCATTGACCGTCGTTGCCGCACTCATGCGAAGCCCTGCGCTGCAAGCTCATGTCGCTGGGCTCCTCGACGCAGGCCTGCAGCACCGTCTCACCTCGCATGGTGCGCGGCCAGTGGTAGCTGCCCTTGTTCGTATGCGTAACCATGGCATCGCAGTAGAGCGTGCCCTTGGCCACCACATGCAGGACAATGGATTGCGACAGATTCGCTTGCTGGCTACGCAGCGTGCAGTCCCACATGCCCGTATGATTCTGTGTTAGGCTGCTAATGCGTAGGATCGAATTCAATATGCCCGAATCGTTAGAATGACGCGTTTCCAAGTGCACATCATTGAACACCTTGGTGGGATCCCGATAGATGATGTCATCTGTGGAGTTTTGATGTCTGATCTTATCCGACCAGCCCCAGAAGACGTAGGCACGCGTGGGCAAATCCTCAGACTCTCGCGGAGCGCCAATGGCCACGCGGGGAGCGAAGCACTTCAGCTGCAGCTCATCGCCCTCAAAGGCAATCTGAAGAAAGTATAAAGAAATTAAGATATATAAATTTAGTTGGACTTTGCTGCGCTTGATTTACCTGATTCTGTTTGGGCACAAGTTCCAGAAGCGGCTGCAGCAGCGATTCGCAACGAAAGTCAATGCCCACTTTTAGCTTCTTCAGTGGCATGCCACGAAAATTGACGGGTGAATCACATTTGGGCGCCGGCAGTAGGCGTATGTCGCGTGCATTGGACCAGGCGATCAACCAAATCAAACCGCAATCACAGGCCAACGGATTGTTCGATAAGTCCCTAAGCAATGCATATGTCAGAAATTGCAGTTTCATATAGATAAGGGAAAATAATGAAGAGAACTTACAGCTGCTTTAATTTCGGCATCTGATCGAATGTTCCTTCATATATATGACTTATAGAATTGTTACCCAGACGCAAGCGCTCCACATTGGGCAGACTATTGCCAAAGCTGCGCTTGTCCAGTTCGGTGAGTAAATTTGATGATAGATCCAATCGTTTAAGTTCCGTAAAACTTTTGAAATCGTCTTCGCTTATGTGTGCAATTGCATTTTTGCTGGCATTGCTGCAAGGTAAACCATAAATAACTATTGATGAATGGCCAAATGTATAAATATGCTTACATGCTGATTATGTTGTGGACATCGTCGCCAAAGTTTAACTCCCTCCAATTAACAATATGCAGTTCGTCACAGCGAACGCGTAACGATTGAATATTCTCTGAAATATTCTTGCAGCTGCATTTACTGGGGCACATTGCCTGCACAACAAAGGTCGTTTGCGTGCAGAGCGCGACCAGGGCCCATAGCCCCATTTGTGCAACGTTCATATTGTTGCTTATTTATGTAGTTGCATTTGTGGCGTCCATTTAATTAACAACACATTTGCAAACAAATGCATAATAAACAAAAACAGCAAAAGTTACAACAAAAAAATTCAACCAGTATTGCTCTATGCACAGAATTTTCTATAATGCGGCGGTCTAATACTAAAAAATACCAACGAATACTAACCTATGTTATCGATAGTCGCATTAAAAATATTAAGTACTTTAACTGATTTTTATGCGACAAACAATATCTTTCAAACGACAGTTGGAATAAATCACTTAAATAATCATGTTTTATCATCAGTTTAATTGATTTTCGAGTGATGGTTACTTCATATATTTTTGTTAATCCGAAGTGTATTCACTGGCTTTATGCTTCAAAAACAAAACATCAATTCCTATTTAAATTATTTATGTTGTAGCTATTTTATTATATATTCATATCTATAAAACACAACAAAATTTAAAGTGTGTAGCGCACAAAAGGAAATTTAAATAAATAACTATACAAACATATTCAATTGATGGCACCAAATATTGCCAACATATACTATTATCTCTGTCTTGGGTGTGCACACACTTGTCTCGCGTATTGTTTTTATAAGAATTGACGTGTCAGATATATGAGTGTTAGCTTTATATACACCATACCATATTGAACACGTCGTTTAGTTAAGCAGAAAGTGGATGGAGTTCTTGAAGAGTGGTATCAAGACCGTGCTGGGCGGCACTGAGCCGGGCCAGCAGCCCAGTGCAGCCGAAACAGTTGAAAAGCTCGTTGATCGAGTTTATTCGTCGACCCTGCTCGAGGATCGCCGGGATGCATGCCGGGCCTTGAAAGCGCTCTCGCGGAAATATCGTATAGAGGTGGGTGCCCAGGGCATGCCACCTTTAGTCCAGGTACTGCAAAATGATGGCCAGGACGCTGAAATCATAAGCTATGCCCTGGACACGCTGTGCAACATTGTCACCAGCGAGGAGTTCGACGAGGAGGCTGACAATCCAGCTGTATCCGTGAATGTGGGCGAACAGTTCACCGAAATGTTCATCAAGAATCCCGATCATGTCACCCTCGTCATGGGTTATCTTGATGAATACGATTTCCGTGTTCGCCGAGGCGCCATCCAGTTGATCACGTCTCTGATTGCTAATAAGACACGCGAACTGCAGGAACTGGTGCTGGTCAGTCCCATGGGCGTGTCCAAGCTAATGGATCTGCTCACCGACAGTCGTGAAGTAATCAGGAACGATGTTCTCCTGCTCCTCATCGAGCTGACCAAAGGCAATTCCAACATACAGAAGATTGTGGCATTCGAGAATGCGTTCGATCGTCTGTTCGATATTGTGCGCGAGGAGGGCTGCTCGGACGGCGGCATTGTGGTCGAGGATTGTCTTATATTGCTGCTGAATCTACTCAAAAACAATTCCAGCAATCAGCAGTTCTTCAAGGAGGGCTCCTACATACAGCGGCTGGCCCCAATGTTCTTGCTAAACAGCTCCAATGGCAGCTCGGATGCGGACGAGAGCGCCTGGACACCGCAAAAGGTCTCCAATTTCCACTGCATGCTGCAGGTGGTGCGGGCCCTGGTGACGCCCAGCAACCAGCAGCAGGTGGTCAGCGCGTGCCAGCGTGTAATGCAAAAATCACAATTGCTGCAGGCGCTCTGCGACATCCTCATGAGCAGCGGAGTGCCAGCGGACATACTGACGGAGACTATCAATACTGTGGCGGAGGTGGTGCGCGGAGATCGCGATAATCAGGACGAGCTGAGCCGCGTTCAGGCGCCCAGTCAGCCACCAAGGCCGGCCATTGTAGTCCTACTCATGTCCATGATCAATGAGAAGCAGCTGCTGGCGTTGCGCTGTGCGGTGCTCTATTGCTTCGAGTGTTATCTCTATCGCAACTCGGACGGTCAGCGTGCAGTGGTGCAGACGCTGCTGCCATCCAGTGCCACCGACGTGAGCTCGCTTTCCACCGGGCAGCTGCTATGCACAGGTCTCTTCTCGACAGACACGCTGGCCAATTGGTTCGCTGCCGTGGCCCTGATGCATACGCTCGTCGAGAACGTTGCCCAGAAGGAGGAGCTGCTGCGAGTGCTCCTGGCCACGCCTGGCGGACAGCGACCCATCACACTGCTGGAGCAGTGCACAAGTCTGATGCAGCAGGAGCGCTACCGCTTGCAGAGCAAGGTGGGTCTGCTCATGCTGCTCAGCGTTTGGCTGGCCCACTGTCCGGGCGCGGTCAAGGCCTTGCTGGAGACCCAAGGCACCATGGCCTATCTGACTGCCCAGCTGTGCGCCAATGAGCACGACGAGCGTGAGTATCTGGTGCAGGGCATGTGCGCCTTTCTCATGGGCCTCTGCATACAATTCAACGACAATTCGCTGGCCAACCAGCGCCGGGAGGACATCAGCCAGCTGATCATCAAGCGCATCGGCCAGGAGACCTTCTGCAACAAGCTGAGTGAAGTGTCGCGCCACGAGGCCTACAGTCGGGCGTGCAAGCAGGCACAGATACGAGCCAAGGGCGCCAGCGAGCTGCTGCTCGATTACGAGTACTGCAAGCTGTACAAGGGTCTGGAGGCGTTGATAGCCAAGCTGGTCAGCGGCTTCGATGTGGATGGCATTGAGCTAACCGAGCTCACTCTCAGCTCAGAGGCCTCTGCTCTGGTGGCCCAGTATAAGGGCATCATACGTGGCATGGACGCGCAAATACAGACTCTGGAGCAGTCCACCAAGCAGCTGGAGCAAGAGAACATTGAGCTAAAGGATCAGCTCAGCCACGAGCAATCACTCAGGGCCCAGCTGGCCGATCAGAATACGCTGCTCAAGGCACAGCTGGCGGCGCAGCCAACAGCAGCTGCAGCTCCAGCTCCAGCTGCAACTCCAACAACAACTCCAATTACCACGGCAACCGCGGAGCAGCAGACCACAGAAACTGTCAACGATGAGCAGCTGAATGCAGCTCGGTATCAAGCGAACATGTATTTTGCGGAGAACATACGATTGACCAAGGAGCTGGAGACACTGCGTCAGCAATTGACAGCGGAGAAACAGCGAGCGGATGCTGCGCAGGAGTCTTTGCTAGCTACACAAAAGGACCAGGAAGATTTGCTCGAGCTCCTCGCCGATCAGGAGGCCAAACTGGCGCGCTACGAGTCGCCGACGAATGCAGTCAACGACACAAACGGCAGATAACTTGTAGCAAGTGGATCTTTCGATGCGAATGTGGATCGTATTAGCACAGCATTGTATGTGTTCTACAAGGATGTGGACTGTATTAACATGCACACACACACACACACGCACTCGCAGACGCTGCTGTGTGGTGTGTGTGGATAGCTCGACTCAATGCCAACTGCCCCTTCCCTTATGCATTCTTGTTGTTTTTACATATATACATACCATATACATAGATAAACTCACACACACATACAAATATGATTAAACACATAAATATATAACTATAACTAATGTATTTGATTTGTTTCACAAATTAGACGAGTCCTTCTCAATGTGTATGCCCTCATCAAATGTGAAATAAACAGTGAATACATTATGATAAAAGTATACATAAACAATTCTAGTTTTACTCTCAACTCATTATAGATGATTTTAACATCCAGCCATATAGTCACGTTAATCATGGACCCATTACATGATCAATGCCAGGTTTCTAATAAATTGTCCTCAAGTATTCCTTCACTTTTATACAAATTATTAAACGATGTTTCTTCTCCCTTACTCCTGCTCTCTCTCTCCCCCTCTAAGTCATTTTCAAAAATTTGACTAAGGTCAATCTCAGAACAATCTCAAAATGTCGCTTATAAAACTTTAGCCTCATGACAAGCAATTCACAAAATGTTGGAGTTTAAATACAGTTCTATTATGATTCACTAAGCCAGTTTATCTCCAATTAACTTGGGATGCTTATATTGTAATTGTCTCAGTCATGATTTGGGTTTTGGGAATCCTTTAACTAGGTCTTGGAATACTATAGAGTAGTTAGCTCACACATATGTATATATATAAAAAAAAAAGTTGTTTAGCTATATCCTCACATTGCCAAATCGAAATATAGGTAGATATGGATATATTTGGGATAGACCCTGCAACACCATTATCATTATGACACTAAGCCACATAAAATAACTGTAGAGCTCCCATAATTCTTAAGTGGCACTTTAGTAACTCGATATTTAGATCTATCTATACAACTACACTTTAAGAATTTCTGGAAACGATCTCTTCATAATCCATAGAAGAGTAACCAACATTCACTTGAGCACATTTTTGATGGGTTTTCTCTTTTAGGTTAGCGCACAGGTATAGTTCACAAGAAAAAAAAGGTGTGTTAACTTAGGTATATCTTTTGACCATTCACATTTATTAACGAGATGGCTACAAAATTTGTTTCTTATTTTCGTGGATAGATGTATGTAGATGGTTGGTTAGCAATTGTTGGCCACTTCACATTTACTTCTTGTCACTTGAAACAGAGCTCTTGGATTCACGGATCGAGGCGGAACGGCGGCGCTTGGCCTCCTCACGCTTGGCCTTCGACTCCTTCTTGCGCTGCACCAGGAGCTTGGCATAATCAGCAGCAGCTTCCTTGGAAGCCTGCTGGCGCTTCTTCTTCAATGCAATGCGTCTGTGTTTGCGCTGCAGGACCACTGGGGTGATCAGACGCTGGATTTTTGGTGCCTTGGAGGTGGCCTTCTTACCCTCCTTGGCGGGCAATGGGCGACGCACAACGTAGGGACGAACATCATCCTCCTTGGACAAGTTGTACAGCTTGCGGATCTTGCTGGCACGCTTGGGTCCCAGACGACGTGGAATCGTGGTGTCTGTAAGACCGGCAATATCTTGCTCGCCCTTCTTGATGACTACGAGCGCCAACACAGACATGTTGGAGTCAACAATGCAGCCGCGCACAGACTTACGCTTGCGCTCGCCAGTGCGGCGTGGGCGGTAGCAGGAGTGTCCCTTCTTCAACAGAAGACGCACACGACCTATAAAGCGGCAAGTAATTCAGTTGTAATTAACAATTTCTTATTCATATACCGAATCGATTGATTTACTCACCGTGCGAGAGAACACCTTGCTTCATGGGGAAGCCCTGCTTGTCGTTGCCGCCAGAGATACGCAGCTGATAGCCCTTCCATTCATCACCCAGAATATCGGCCTCCACAACTTGGCCCATACGCTTCTCGTAGAACACACGTAGTTTGTGCTCATCGACAACCTCGAACAGCTTTTGGCATCCCGTTGCGGGATAAGAAACGTTGAGCTGCAAGTAAACACATACATTTGTTGTTTAGTTCACGTACACATCTATATACACAAATTTGCCGCAATCGTTATCTTCAATTTTAAGGGCAATCACTTTAGTTTTTCAAGTTACACTTAATTTTTGCACAAGTTGAATGTTAATGCTAGCTGTTTTTAGCAATATTTCATTATGTTTACAGCGTTTCTTATATTATTTTTCACAAAATTTTTGCACACCTTCATTATGTTGGTCTTGCTGCAATCAACACAGAAAAAAAAAGAAACGCTCTTGTCAAATCCCAACTAGGTAAGGGAAAGGAAATAGGGATGCAGCAACCAAACTTATATCGAAATAATCGATACGATGAAAACTAGCTATCGATGAAATTTAAATACGCTTTAAAGGGCGAATGCTGATTCAAAATTATGCACACAAAATTAAATTACAGACTGATCAAATTAACTTCGATTCTAAATGGAAAAAGTTCTGAATACAGAGTATTTTACAAAATTTAGCCAATTCAATCGCTCATCCCTAAAAATCTAGGTTCATCGATATTTTCCAATGCAAACATACCCATAACAGCTGTCAAAGAATGGAGTGACCATGATGCTAAATTGGAAAACAGGGTGCCTCCAGACGATAAACAACGATTACAACACGTGTTGTGCTTGAGTTTGTTATTRAGAAGTTGATTTTAAGAGTGCACCAAAATGGGTAAACCAAAGAAGGCTAATGTGGCCACAATAAAAAATGTGAGCCTGGAGAAGCAAATCACAGATGGCAAAGTATTGAAAGCTAAATCCAAGGAAAAAGTTAAGCTACGTGCAGAAGAGTCACCGGTAGGTACATCCTTGATTGATATTATTCCATATATAATACAGGTGCTTTATTGATTGACAGAATATAGATGCGAAAAGCAGTCAAAAGATATTGGCAGCAGCTAGACAACAGCAACTGGAGCTCGACGAGGAGAACTTTCCAAGCTTAGCAGCACCAAGGACTGTGAAACTTAACTTGAGTATGTAAACTAGTATACAATAAATCAATTTATTTTTAACACCATAAAAACCTTTAGACGATGGCATGGACCAGGACGAACAGGAAGATGTTAATGAAAACGATTTCATGGCTGACTTGGGTATGGACGAAGACGATGTTGCTGCCTTCGAACGCTTCCAACAGCCGCCCGCAAAGGAGGGTAAACGCACTTTGCATCTGTCCGAGATTATAATGCAAAAGATTCAGGAGAAGGGCGCCGATATACACACCAAAATCTCGGACGAGGGTTCACTGAGAATTGAAGAAATCGATCCGAAGGTAAAGGAGATGTATGAAGGAGTCCGAGAGGTGCTCAAACGCTATCGTAGTGGCAAAATACCGAAGGCCTTTAAAATTATACCCAAACTAAGGAACTGGGAACAAATATTGTTCATAACGGAGCCACACAATTGGAGTGCTGCTGCCATGTTCCAAGGTACTCGCATCTTCTGTTCGGTGCTCTCCCAGGCGATGGCTCAGCGTTTCTATAATTTGGTTTTATTGCCACGCATTCGTGACGATCTTTGCGAATACAAGAAGCTCAATATGCATTTGTACAATGCCCTTAAGCGTGCACTCTTTAAGCCGGCTGCCTTTATGAAGGGTATCATATTGCCATTGCTGGAGTCGGGCGACTGCACCTTGAGGGAGGCAATTATATTTGGCAGCGTCGTGGCTCGAAGCTCCATACCTGTGCTGCACTCGTCTGCATGTCTGCTAAAGATCTGTGAGATGAACTATTCAGGCGCCAATTCGATATTTATTCGTTATTTCTTGGACAAACGTTATGCACTGCCATATCGTGTTATAGATGCAGCTGTCTTTCATTTTCTGAGGTAAGCACTAGTGAATGGTCTCAGAAATATCCATTTTCAATAATTTTTTCTACCTCTACAGATTTGAACAAGATAAACGCGAATTGCCTGTACTATGGCATCAAAGCCTGCTGACTTTTGCGCAACGTTATAAGAATGATATTTCATCCGAGCAAAAGGAGGCACTGCTGCAGCTTTTAAAGTAAATATTGTCAATTTTAAAGCTTATCGAATCTAGCATCCAAGCTTATCTAACGCTTTTTAATTGCAGAAAGAAATCTCATCCGAAGATCACACCGGATATTCGACGCGAATTGCAGGCGGCCCAATGCCGTGATGTTGAAATGATGGAGACAATGAACGAAACAGCTGGTCAGCCTATAAAGATGTACACAGATGAAGATGTTGGCTATACGGGCTAAGAAAGTATACTATATAGGCATTATTTTTAGTTCATAGTTTTTGAATTATTTTATACTTTGAAAACAATCAAAAGCATTATGTTTATGTAAATATATGGTATATACATACACACGCGTGACTGAAATTTACAATTCATGAATTCTTTAAAAAGACCATTTGAATTTTGATASATTTAATATGCGGCGCATTTTAATACACTTATCGACTAGTCGCTACGGGTATCGATTCATACGCAACATGTCACATGGAGCTTTCGATTTGTAGTCGTCGTGCAATTCTCCGCTAATTGTCAACCATCCTATCGATATATCTTGAAGCTAGTTTTCGAAAAGAAATTAAATATTGACAGCACATGGGGTACCACCGATTGCTTATTTTCTAATTGAATTTCATATCGATAGTTAGAGCGTTAAAGAGCACTTGTCAGATACAATAAGTAAATCAGCTGTTGGCTTTTGTCGGTTATCACAAAAGAAGAAATAACATTAAAAATTAATTTAAGTTAACATTTTGAGAATAACTACAAATTTCATTCAACAAATGGATTCGAACTTGCGTAACGTATGTATGCTTGGCTTACCTAACTACAACATGTTTAATTCATAAATATTTATATGCACTCAATTGCAGCTGAAAGATTTTCTTACATTATACAACAAAGTCACTGAATTGTGCTTCAATCGCTGCGTCGATAATCTCAGCCAACGTGAACTGTTCGATCAGGAGGTAAACAAGCATAATTATCTATTCCTCCAATATTGATAAATTATTACTTCGTATAAATAGAGCACTTGTGTAGATCGATGTGTGACAAAGTTTGCACGCTTTAATCAAAATATGATGAAGTCCTATGTGGATGTGCAGACGAAAATTAATGCCAAGCGGATGGAAGAAATGGAGCAACAGAACGCCAAACAATTGGAGCAACAGCAACAGGAGGAACGCATCAAAGCGCAGCTTAAGGAAAAAGAAGCCGCTGTCACTGTACTAACGCCAGCTGCATCGACGGCTAAATTGGCCATGTAGCAGCAGCAGCACCATGTGGATTGGAATGCCATGCCCCAGCTTTTATTTACAATACTAGACAGTTAAGCAGCAACAACAACAATCACACATTCATACAAACACACACATATACATATATATAGTTGTACACTATAGAAATGCCGCGTATTTGTCTGCTTGCTTTGATCGGCCTGCCGGGCGCTGGCAAGACGACTCTTAGCAAGTGGCTAATGCAGCAGCAGCCAGACTTACTGACTGGCTGGCATGTGTTGCATTTGTGCTACGACGATTACTTCGATATACAACCTACAAACAAGATAGAATACAAAGAGCAACGACAGTTTATATACAATTTGCTGGAGCAACTCATTGTGGCTCTACAAGCAGGCAAGGCCGAGCTGCCAGGACGGGTACGAGGCTCAGCGGCGACAACTAACAGCTGCAATCATCTAATAATATGCGATGATAATCACTATTATCGCAGTATGCGCTATAAACTGTATCAACTAAGTCGCAATCAGAATTGCTTATATGCCCAGCTTTATCTGGCTAGCAGCTTGGATGACTCTCTGCTTGCAAACGCGAAGCGTGGAGCCAATGGAGCATTGCCACCTGCGGTAGTACAGCAAATGGGTATGAGGCTTGAGCCACCAAGTGAATCTTTAGCTTGGGAGCAACTTACATTAACACTTAATAGCACAATAGATTTTAATGCAGTAGCAGAAATAATTCACAACTTTTTACAAACTTTACTCAATAGCCCATTAATTGTTACGCCTGCACAGCAGGAAAAGCAACCGCAATTGCAATCGCTGACCCATCAATTGGATTTAAAGTTGCGTGCGCGCATTCAGAATCAAATGAAGTCCAACAAAGTCGAAGAAACGCAACAACAGCCAGAGCTACGTCTACGAAGTCGTGCCCTAAACGAACAACGCAAGCAGATTTTAACACAATTTCGTTTTGATATGCGCAGCGGGCAAATGGAATTTTCTAATGATAAATTGGAATACTATGTTAATATGTTAAAGTAATCTAATGAAATAAGCGTTAACTGTTTAAACATTGTACATATAAATATAATTGCTATAGTCTAGTACATTAAACAACAAACAAACCAAATGATCAGAAATTTACTTAAAACTTTAACATACCTATCTCTTTCTATATCATTGTGTTGCTCCTTCTTATATTTACCTTTATATACATCTCTCTCTCTCTCTCTCTCTCTCTATCTCTTTCTCTCTCTTATAGAGTAAATGTATGCACTTAGTCATTCTCTATATATCCCTATATAGAATGATACCTATATTCCTACACAAAGCATTTCCCAATAATAATCTTGTTTCCTACTATCTCCAGTATTACTAAAAGTGCTTATTCTGATGCCATTATGATCCTTACAAAGGGAAGAATATACTTATGTACACATCCCTATTGTATATACTGTACACAAGAACTCGCATATAAAACTAGATTTATTTAGGAAAAGTTAATTTTAACCTATGATCTATACATATATATATATTCATATATTTGACGTTTAAACCACCTTGACTTGACTAAGATCGCGCTTCTCGATCATGCGCATCTGCTTCTTCTTCATGCGCTTCAGCTTAGCAGGATTCTTGATCACTTGCACGACCTCTGATCGTCGCTCGTTGGCCAAACGTCGCTCAGCATTTTCGACACGTCGCTGATGACGCTGCACGGCGGCTTCCTTGCGCTGATCCTTGATCTCCTTGGACTTCTCTTTGATGTAACGCATCTCATTGCGTAGGGCGACTTTCTTCTCAAATGATAAACGATTCACGGTTTTCTTAATGCTGCTGAATCTGTGAATAAAGATTAGCCTGTGAATATGTGATGCATTTGTGTTGTTTGAATTCTTCTACTTCTGCTTGGGTGTCTTCCAGGGCCGATTTGATTTTGGCTGTCCGCGGGGTATTTTTGATTCGGGTTTGACCACCTTTTTGGCTTTTGGTTTGGATTTGGGTTTGGGTTCGGCTTTGGCTATAGGCTCAGCATTTAGTTGTATTTTGGGACTTGAAGTATTACTGCCCGGAGAGTCAGGCTCATCGACCACAATTGGTTTGGGCTTAAGTTCGGCTCTCGCTTTAGGTTCAGCCTTTTTTTGAATTTTGGGACTTGAAGTATTACTGCCTGGAGAGTCAGGATCATCGACCGCTGTTGTATATACTCTAACCATGTTTTTGTCGCTATTTAGAACACACAAACTAAAACAAAACACGGCAGACTGTGCACGTGTTTACGGTGTTATCGATACTAGCACTTGGTCAATTATCGATGTTGCAACTAGCAGCACGACAGTGCTGTGAAACATTAGTATTCTTATAAATAAACCTTTTGACACTAAACATATGATTTTCGTTGAATATTTGATTAATTGATTTATTATTTCAAACGCAATTGCCAGCATTTAAAAAAAATGCGTTTTTTATATACGCATATTCAGCCTTTTTACGGTCACTCTGGAGAGGTTTGACTAACAACATTGATATGTTATCGACTTGGCGCCGAACATTGCAAATTTGAATAAAACGAAATTATTAAAAAAAAAATTTATTTCACTCAGCAATTTTACAAAGTCATACAAAATCGCAAGTTGTGCAATTTGTTGTTTCCCAGCGTTTTGTTTCTTTTTTTTTCAACTTTGGTATTAATTTACATATTTACAGACACATGGGAGAGCAACTTGGATAGCCCCAAATTCAATTCTTCCTACTCGAATCGTAAGTTGGGGCCGTATTCTCCTCTGATAAATCTGTATTGTTGTCACGAGTTGTCACCGGCAGACTCATAGACTGATTGTGTTGATTCACATTATAGTGATAGAAGAACGCCTTGCTATATTCAAATGTCGATATCATGATCGCACAGGCTGGCGCGACTTTGAATAGACGTGGGCCAAGTCCCGCAAAGACCCCACGCAATCCATTTAAACGATAAATGCTCGCCAAACGGTTCATTACTGATTTGTTGCTCGTTATTGGCACATTCTTGGGTGGATTATCTATCAGAAGACAAAGATTAAAGACAGAACTGTAAAATAAGATACAACACATGTTGTTGGGGCTATCGCTGACTGATTTCGATGCAGTCAGTGCTGTTTAGCACAGCAAGTGACAGGCCTACCTGTAAATATGAATTTCTCACCAAATTCGATTTGTTCGTGCGTCTTTATGACATCAAAAGGTGTTGTGACCGTTGCAGCTACCTACAGGTGCAAGGCGAGGCAAAGGTTCTTTAGTTGTTTGGATCATGTCAGCAATTAGTGCTACTTACCGATCCCGAAATAGCACCCGCTAAAAAACTAAAGCCAAACGTTGGTTCGACGACATTAAAACTACTCTTAAGATACTCGTAACATGTCCAATAGATGCCAGAGAAAGGAACATCCCTCAAGATAGTGGGCGGCAGTCCTCGCCACAGTCCGAGCACACCTTGCGACTGCAGGACCTGACGTATGGAGCCCAACATCTCAGCGTTTGTCATTTTCTGGGACTGCATCTTAGTGCGTATCATCTCGATGGGGCTGACAACGGTCACCGCTAATATGCGAGCCGTAACGCCCGCCATCATTGGAACCAGCATTGGAATGTTCCGGGTATAGGTTGTTGTTTGTACAGGGGACAGGTACTTGTAGTGCATATCGATAAAGCGTGCTTTAAGTTGTTCATATGCAACAAAATAGATAATGGTCGAAGGTAGCGCAGAGATAAGAGTTGGACTAAGGCCTGACCAGAGCGAGCCAATGCCTTCGGCGCGACTGATTTTGATGAATGCATCCTGCGCAAGGAATAATAACTAGTAATTAGGCAAACAGAAATATATGATCTTTCGACTTACTATGGTGCCTGTAAAGTGGGAGGATGAGGAGGCGGAGGCAGGTGATACTTTATTAAATGCAGTCGCTGCAGTCGGCGTAGGCGTATTGGGGCCACAAGGACATATGTGATCCATGAGACCATTGCAATAGAGAAAGCACTTATTGGATAGCAGCGCCGACTGCTGGGCCTGCAAGCGGGTCTTGATGACGTCCAAAGGTGTCACTGCAATTAGCAACAATTATGATGAAATTATCATGCAAACACATACATTCACATGTACATATATATGCATGCATTTATAGTACATATGTTTGTATATTAATAACTTACTGAAGCAGGCGGTAATCATGGCACCTGTGCATGCGGATACAACCTGCTGCATTGGACGTATACGAAATCTGGGATCTGTCATCTTAAATTGCGACGGATTTGCCGGTGTTCCACTTTTAGCCTCCATCGAAACTTTTTGAAACTTTTGCTTCACCGCTCTAATTAGTACGTCGATAATCTAGATTTTTAAATGATATATGTTACAGTGTGCGTACGTGTTTTCGCGTTGCTTTTGTCATTCAAAAGCCCTCGATAAACGTAACAACCAAACAAACACAAAAATGTAAGCACACAGATCCCCACGTTTGAGTATGGTTTCAAAACTATCGATAATTAAACAGCTGTGGTGTTATGTGCACCATCAACGAAACAGCTGTAGCTGTCAGTGTTGTCAATTTAGTTTTAAATGTCTTAACACGTTATTGCATGAAGGCATACGTTACAATGGAAATTGCTTAATCATGTTACATTAAATTAGTTTCGAATTTAATACTATTTAATACATTATTATGCAATTCTGTCATTTTTGATTACTTAGTGCTAGAAATCGCCCAACAAATATCGATATTATGTCGATAGTCGGCATGATTGTATTTTGAACATAATACAGTTATGCTACTTACCGGTGTGCTTCAGGTCGAGATTGTACCGAAAGAAGAATGATTTACTATATTCGAATGCTGATATCATGATAGCACAGGCTGGTACCACGCGTAGCATACGTGGCAGAACTCCTACATAGAGGCCTCGTACACCCTGCTTCTGATATATAGCCTTAATACGTGCAAATACTGACGTCTTTGCCATGGATGGTGAAGGATTTGGCTTTGTGCCTGTATTACCCTTATCCGCACTCTTTGAGTCTGGGAACAGTACATCCTGTCCCAGCTCAATTTGCGTATGGGTGGTAATTAGATCAAAAGGCATTGTAACGAACGTGGCTAACTAAAAGGAAAGAATAGTTAATCAATTGCAAATTTTGTAGGTGGTGGCAGAGACAGACCGCTCCGGATGATGCGCCCGCCATAAAGCTAAACCAAAACGTTGGCTCTGTCACATTGCACGCCCGCTTAATTGACTCGTAGGCAGCCCAATAAGTGCCCGAGAAGGGGGCATCCCGCATCACGGTCGGCGGCCACCCACGCCACAATACAAACATGCCGTGCGTTTTGATCAGTGAACGGAGCACTACCCATAGCTCCTTATACGTCACATAACCAGATTGCATTTTAATGCGAATCATCTCCAACGGCGTTATGGCCGTCACGACAACCGTGCGAGCGCATATACCCGATGCCATTGGTACCACCGAGGGTAGATTTACACTTAAGTCCGTCGATGTCTTTATAATCTTCCCTTTGCCGCTATCGTTGTTGGTGAAGCGGTCGACAGGATACCAAAAATAATAGAAGCTCGAAAAATTATGTTTCAAGTACTCGTAGGTAAGAAAGTAGATAATGGTGGATGGCAGTGCTGAGATCAGCGTGGGACTCAATCCCGACCACAAGCCAAGGACGCCGTTACCGCAAATGATCTTGACAAAGGCATCCTAAAAGGCAGAGTGAATGAGCAAAAGAAAGAAATACAGAAAGAGAGCGAGTGAGGGAGAGAGGATAGATACTGGCTCTGATATTGATGATTATGAAAGAGAGACAGATAGAGGAAAGTCCATATAAGGGGAATCGTATATGGACTACCTACCATTGCTCCGCGCAGAGGACGCATGCTGGTCGCATCGGCCGCTGCGCTCTTCGTTAGGCAATCGGTACTGTTTGGTTTGCAGACGTGCGTCATTAGGCCATTGTGAAAGACATAGCAGAGCTTGGAGACAACTGGACGATAGCGTGCTTTGGTCTGCGCTTGAGTTTGTACGCGCGTCTTGACTACTTCCATGGGAGTCACTGGAGACGGCACTCTCTTTAATCCGTATCGTACGAGGATCTCCGCATCTCTACTTACCCACAAATGTTGTGATCAATCCACCAACGAGAGCCGAAATCACCTGCTGCATGGGCCGAATACGGTAGCGCGGATCATCGGCCAGAAGTGCTGCTGGCAAACGCAATGGATCCCCATCAATCTCCTGTGAATCAGGCGGCGTCAGGTCTCGTTCTGGATGCATATTACTTTAGTTCAGTACTTCCTGTTTATCAATTCTTTTGATATCCCTAACTGTCATGCAATGCAATAACAGAAGAGCGTAATCATAACTATTGTTTGGTAACCAAAATATTATTAACATAAACTAAGGGACAACATTTCATGACATACATACCCAGGCGTACGTATCGGAATTGATAACTATCTATCTATATATGTATATCTATAAATATATATGTATACTGTTTTATATGCATATGCATATGCATGCAATATTTATTTCGATATCTATATATACATACATATATATGTATATATTACTGTAATTTATTGAATGCGGCCCCAAGCTTTGATTTAGAGCAGCTTCAATTGGCTTATCAACATGCTCTACCACGCCCTACGTCGCTCTGAATTACCATATGTACATAACAAAATTTATATCTGAATCTTGCCTGTCTAACATTACAATCTACTGAAATTACCTAAAAAAAATTAAATATGCATATATTATACTTATATACATATTGAATTTGTATTTGGCAGTGTACTCTGAATGATATTTCCAGATCCTACGATTACGAATATTTTCTAGTGGCCAATAGAATCACTTGACAGCAGAAGCAAGGAGAACTGAATTTTGTATCGCAGTTAAATATAATATAATACAGAAATTATGTTATCTTAATTATTGATATTTAGATCAACTACTAAAAGCATAGAGATCGGAATTATCTATATATTTTTGTATAAACTTTTATGTAATCCAATAATTGAAATTCTGATCGTGTAGTGGGATCAGCATATATTTTCTCCAGTCAGAGCTTCCTGCTTATAGTATAATATATATCCAGATATAGTTTATTTATATATAGCCCTGATATAGCATGGCTTACCACTGACCGAACATCCAAACTTAGAGAAGCAAAATGCTATCAACTGTTTGATTATTGAAGACAGTTTGCAAACAGTTTGATCGACAACTCAATACCCATTAATGAATACATTTATGCAGACCTATTATTTATATTAAGCTAAAGCCCCCAATCAAACATTTATAAAAACAACAAACTTTGCTACGACAAGAAAATAATAACATTTAATTGCGTGAATTATAAATATGAATTAAATTAATCAAATTTAATAATAATTTGCATTACACTTAAGTTATTACAGTTAAGTATGAGTAGTAAGTCAGTTATTTCTTTTATATTTTAGCAAAACGAAAAAAAAAAAAACAAATTTTGATGTAATTTAGGCCAATTGTGAATTCTATTTTCGACTTCATCTTTTTAGTAGGGATTTGTTGTTGTTGTGGTGAATAGCTGGCCTGTGGATAGGTAGGATTACGAATTACTGGTGCCTCCATCTCACTTGTGCGCAATGGGTATTAAAGTTTCACCGGCAGTGAGCGCTGGCAGCGGCGCGTCCACAGTCAGGACACCATCCTTGCTCAGGGACGAGCGAATCGATTCGGGATTCACGCCCTTCGGCAACAGAAACTCGCGATTGTATTCCCTGTAAACGCTCTTTGTATCTGATTTCTCTTCGTGCTTGGCATGCACCTGAAATGGAAACAAAACGAACATTTTAATAGACTGAAGTGTAAAAATGGAAACAACTTTAGATCTTAAGCTTATGTGGATTACAACAATATTCCTAAATAAGGTCTTCTTCTGCGTCTATTTATATTTTATACTCTTCTATCATATAGTACACTGCTGTCTAGTTCTACATCCTATTCGATCTTCTTCCTTCATACCGTATTTCATTTGATTTTTTTAAATTTTTAATACATTTCCTGGTAGTATATGCTACGTATGTATCACATACCGTATATCAAACACCATATATCATATATCATCGACTCTAGCATATATAAATAAAACTTACTATCATTTATTTTAAGTCCCATCATATACTAACTTTTCTAATATCAACCTTTTATAAGTCATATATCATATAACCTTTCATATCTTACACATTATAAATCGTCAACAGAATAAATTCTGCAATAGCATATTCTTAATTCTTGCATATGTCATCTTATCACATAATATGACTACTACTACTTATTTAAATCGAACTGATTTGTACTCATAGATATTTAGATACTTTATAATGCAAGTATATACAGATATTCATATATCTTACCAGCAACTTCTGATCGACAGTTTTCACAACAATCTCCTCGGGTGCGTATTGGCTGACATCGAAGCGCAGCTTAAGCACTTTGTTATCGCCCTCGTCCTGCAAATGACAAGAAATACATCATATAGAATGACAGATGATCTATATAACATAAGAGCTCTGCTTTAACATACCTGAATCAATGGCGAGCTGATATCGGACACATAGTTCTGTGGCTTGGGCACTCGGGAAGGCAGCGCCGAGTTTGTTGTTGAGCTGCAAGAAAAATGTTTCAAATTCAGTATTCAAATTTACTTAAAATTTGTGTGCAATGAGAAAATAATAAATGAATGAGTTATACACAATTGTTAGAAACACCTTGAGCTAGTTTTTGTGGTTTTCGTTGTTGTGGAAGTTGTGCGAAAAGTTTTGTGAAAAGTGCGTTTAAAGGCTTCCATTTCGATGGAGTGCTTTTTGTCTTTGGGAAATCGGTTTTTGGAAACCGCTGGCAAACTCGCTTCAAATGCAACTGAATTCGAACTGAGCCTTGTATTCCTTCACAGCTTCAGCTTCTTCTCCTTCTTCACTTTCCTAACTTAACATATTTTATAAATAGCTCGGATTTCCGCTCTAGAGAGGAGTTTTATTTTAAGAATATGTGCGAGCAGCTGTCGAGCTGAATAAGGGGAGCTGGGCTCATGGGACGAGTTTATGTCAGCAGGGATGGGTATGTTTATATGTATATACATATGACTATAAAGATGTATATAGATAGATACATATGTTAAATTTATAAAGATATATGTATGTAATTGAAGAAGAATTTCTTCTCTGTCTAGCTTAGTTTATGATCTTTAATGTGTCTCCGTAGATGGAGAGACTATTCTTATACAAAAGCATAAACCTGATCTGTAACATAATCTGAATATAGGTTTGTCCTCAAGTTTATAACTTTTTGCCCGTTCTTAGAAATCAGTTTCGAAATTTGACTATACCCTATATATGTATGTATTAACGTTTTTGGGAATATTCTAGTAGCTGAGCATATTTTTTTCTAGAACTCAAGTGTTTTCCTTTGTTATTTCTATGCCGAAATAATGGGTGCAAAATGTTGGCAAAGCTGCCAAAAATTTTGATTTTATGGCACAGAAAAAAAAAGAGAGAGAAAAGAGTGAGATAGAGGGAGATATATAGTCAAAGCACGGGGCAGGTGTGAGGGAATGTATAAACACTTTTTAATCGTGCTGGAAATGTTACGCAATACAAAGACCTAGAAAAGTTGATTGAACTTTCTGCATATGGCATGAGCTATAAAAACCACAAATAAATATAAAATTTGAAACATCTGTCAAATCTTCTATATATACATGTATGCACACGCATAAGTACATATATACATACATACTATATTTATATATGCATTTAGTTTATTTGTGTGAAATTTTTAAAAAAGGAAAGAATGTCGAAGACTTTTTAAAGTGACAACATACGAAACTGTCTGTCAACAGTGTGCTAAAGTACATACTGAAAATAGTACAGAAATAAGTGTTTACCAACACAGCTGTATGTGTAAGTGAGTGTGTGTTATTTACAATTTGAGAGTAAACAAAAATTCAACACAAAATAATTGTAAACGAAAAGTTTGTAGTCCATTTTTTTGTAGAGAGCATTGAATACCTGGTTGTAGTTGTTGTTTTTTTAGTAGAGCTTTTTTTCGTGAGGAAAGTTATTATAGTATAGATAATAATTATAGATATATATGTATGTATTTTAATAGCAATTTTTTTATTTCCCAAGCAGCATGTATAGGTAATAGGAAGAAAGAAATAGAGAAAAGATTTAAATATGTTTTAATATATATTCATGATTTTGATTATATATATTAATATAAATTAGAGCTTTTGTTTTCTTAATTATTACACTGTACATTTATTTTATGAGGTGCAAAAAGGTATCAGACACACACACACACACATACGCATGCAAATAAAACTTGAATAAGGCAGACCAATGAACCGTAATTACTAGCGAAAATAAGACAGAGAAAAATAGAAAGAGAGAGAGAGAGAGAGAGAAAAAGAGAGTTTGAGGAAAGACGAGCGCTGACCACGCAGGCTACACTATACAACACTAACACAAACATACACAGACATACATATTTGTATAGACACCTCACGCATACACGCATGCGAAGCGCTKCTGATAAGCGTGCCACTAGCTGGCAACTGTAAGCGTGCCCGCAGTCGACCTTGCTACCAACGTGCAACGGTTAAATGCAACCAAATGTAACAAATACACACACATACATATATAACAGCGGCAACTTTTTCCCTACCTACCTAATGTTGTGTGACTAATCGTAGAAACCGTTAATTCTAACATTCGGCTATTGGGGTTACAAGTCGCTGTACATATGGAGGAAGTCCCAGCACCTGCCGGAACAGCAGTTGGCGCTTACTTGCCAAAGTCTACACACACGCAGGCACACATACACACAGCGATGTATTGGCGCTCTCTTCACATGCACAATACACACACACACACAGCAGGCAGAGACTTGACGACGAAACATACTTAATTTCTCTCTCTCTCCCCAGCGCTGATGATGTCATGCATATTTTTCGTTATTCGTTATTGTTATTGAATAAAAAGAAGCTCTGCGTGTAGAAATTGAATAAAAAGAGAAAGAGCAGCAGCAGCAACAACAACAACAACAATGTATGTACAATATCAAATGTCAGACGAGTCGACGCTGACGTTAAGTCGGCTGCAGTTGACAAAGGAAAGCAACTTAACGAATGCTAATCGATAGCCAATTGCTGCTGATCAGCAACGATTACAAGTGGCATCGAGTCGTTGCTTACGAAACATTTTCGTGCTAAAAATTTGCATGATATCATCTTTTAGCCATTTACTTATTATCGCCAGCATCATCACAGTTGCATCACACGGGTAAATAAATTGGCAGCAAACATACAAATTAGCAGACAAACACATACATACATGTGCACGCATATCCATATACGTGTACTGTACAGTGGTACATAATTATTTACACCCACGCAAATGTGAGAGATCGAAAAATATTAAATTCCATTTTTTTTTTTTTTGTACAGTAGCTATTTGTATATGATATAATAAATTGAAACAGATTATATGTACATATATGTACATGCACATCTTATAGTATTACGATTAACCACAAACCAATTGAAAAGCAAAATCGTACTTTTAATCGCAAGTAAATAGAATTATTTGCCATGTATACTATAAAGAATCTCTATTTGCATAAACAAATGTGCCAATTCGTAACCCAAGCTCAGCGCACACTATTTACTATATACAATAGGCTAAACAAATTGAACGATAAATCAACCTGGAGTAGTTGAATCTACATAGATAGTTGATCACTTGAGCAACAACAATTGCAATCTATTTTACAATATACACTTTATTTGTGATTCTATATGTGCTGCAATAAAATAGAAAAATAAACAAAATCAATTTGTTGTCTATTGTATAGGCTCGTTGAAGCCAGATGACGATGACGTGATCAGTTATTTTTAAACAATAATATTTCATTTAATTTAGCAAACAGCAGCTGTGGATTAGCCACAGCCCTACAAGAGGGTCAATATTCGATAGCAAATGGAACAATTGAGTCATCGCTGGCCTGAATTAACCGACCGCCCACCCATCCGCCCAGCCGACCATCTCTATCACACTTAACGAACCTTCTGCGCGCTGTCAGTCAAATTCGGTTGCATTAACAGTGGGTTGGGTGCGAAAACATAAACCCAGTCTTATTTCTTTCGTTAATTGCAGTTTGAGCTAAAACTTTAGTTTTGCACGCAATCTAACGGTTAATGTTAAAGTTAAGTCCACAAAGTTTGCCTCGAAAGTTGTTTTGTTGGTGTTGCGCATGCAAATGCATTGATGGGAGACAACAAAGCAACTACAACAATAACAGCAACCAACAAAAACAATAACAAATCGCTTCGATTATGTCATTGCCCATGGCCGAAGCTCTGAAAACCACTCGCCGCGAATGATTTTCGAATTCGCCCTCAAGTGGCGCCCACGCGACGCGAACATCGTTGCCGTGTTGTCGCCGCAAGCAGATTGGAAAGGCCAGCGAGGCGCAACCGCGACGGCGACGTCGATGTCTGCGTCGACAGCGACGTTGGCGACGTCATTTTGCTCTTCTCAGCGATATGCATGTATGCACGATGGGGTACATGCATGTATACAGACATAGGTGCATGTGTGCGTGCGCACTTCTGTATTGTATTTAGTACATATTCTTGTTTTGTTTCAATCTTTAATGGCCGCCTTCACATTGTCTGTTTATTTAGTAAATATTTGACTTATATATTCACGTCGACATGTGCGTGCGTATATGTGCGTGTATATATCTGGCAACTATGCCAGAAAAAAATTCCGTTACGCCACATCTCATAAAGTGTGCTAAAATATGCTTATTTTTTTCTAGCTCAAAGTGCAACCATGGGTTACCGTTACAAAGCAGGGCTGCATTCGAAGACAACAACAAATGAAAGAAAAGTCTAAATATTTATTAATATACATACATGCATATGTATGTATTTTTGTAAGACAGAAGCAAAATTAATTATGTAGAAAATCAACCCGAAACTATTTTTTGGGCAATTTTCAAATATTTCAAAAAAGAAAGAAATGATTTGTGCTGAGGACCAGACAAATGGAAAATGTTTGTATGTACATATATTTAGATGGGGTGCGAGGCAGGGGTGAAGCGGGCTGTGTGAAAACCGAATGTGACTCATTCCCCCATCCACAAAAAAAAAAAAAAAAATACAAACAAAAAGAAGAAAAGAAAATGTGTGCTCGAGTATCTGGGGCATTCAGCGCCAAGTTTTCGGTACGTAATCCAGCTGATGATGATGGTGATGGTCAGCTCGGGCTATTTTTAAGTTGAGAGTATTCGGGAGATCCTAAGCAAAAACGTAACATTCTTATAGAATTCTATTGTTGAGTATCATTTTCATTATCTGGCATATTTCATTATTTTCTGTCTAAATAATTTGCTAATTTTGATAGTATGTCTTTCATTGTTCCATTTGCCTAAGACTTTTCTTTGGATATTTCTTAAAATAAAGACATACATAATTCCCTTAAGATTTGCTTTGCATTTCCCGCAGACTTTGAATTCAAAACGTTACAAACGAACACTACAGTTATTTTCAGTTATGGCCAGCTGGTCGTTAAATTTTTTATTCCGATAAGAAACTATCAGCAATAACTTGACCCTTATCTGGATAAACATTTCTAGTAAGCCTGATCGCAAGTAATGTTAACAAGATACAAACATATGTACATACATACATGCAGACCCATGCACACAGTATACAGTGTACAGTGTACTTAATAGCTACATTAGCAAATTTCGGTTGTATATTAATATAAGATGTAGGGGGACGCTTTACCTGGTTGATTCGAAGAAATTCGCCTCGCGGTTCATCAGCTCGTGACGGAACTTGGCCATCTCCTCCTCCATTTTGCGCATCTCGGAATCGAAACGTTCGCGTATGCTGCTGAATTCCGTATCGATAACGCTGAAGTCGCCCAATTTGATGGGAATATTTCTCTTATTAGCCTCGGCCATTTTTGTTTTTTTTGTTTGTTTGTTTGCCTGTGTGTATGTGTTAGATACAACTAAAAAACTTCTTGAGTGAGCTGCTTTATCTGCTTCTTCTCGTTTGCTTCGGTTTGTTTTTACGCGCACCGCTCTTTACTTATTGGACTTGGTCAGCTTGTGTTTAAGTGTGCGTATTTATATATGTATGTATGTATATTCACTTTCTAATCAGAACCAAAAAAAATCACAATATATGTATTCTTTTAATGTGTGTTTGTATATATGTATATGTTTGCTGATTGACTCGTATCGCACAATTCAACGCGTTTCAAAGTTTTCTGTTTGACTGTTTTGCATTTTCGGTGTGTTGACGCTTTTATAGCGCGGCGTCACATAGCGGCCGCAACTACACAGAGAACGCAACGCAAAAGAGAGAGCGACAGCGAGAGAGACAGAGAGTGCTGCTTACCACAAAATTAAGCCAACATGGCAGCGAGTTCACCCACACACTGAAACGACCCGCTCTCTCCGTTTTCGTGCTCGCTCTCTCACACGCCGGCAAGAAACAAGTGAATGGACTATACGTGCGAGCGTGAATGGGCTTACACATGTGAGTGCGAGTGTGAGTGCTAGTGCGATACAAACCATTTTGAAGTTGAACTCTCTCGAGTGCCCTACCCTATGGTCCCTTGCTATTTAGTAATGCACTTTGACATGCATTGCAATATATTGAAAAAGAACCTAACATGAATATTAAATGTTCATTTGTATACATCATTTATTATTTGTATTTCAGCGTACATGTGTAAACCGATTGTTTATCAAAGTACCCTTGACAAGGGTATGCAATAGTCGTATAGCGCAACTCAAAATCTTATTAGAAAAAGTGCTGGAGCAAACAGGACTTTTTATGTTTTGTTCAATCTTGAAATGCATTTACGACTATGCATATGTACACATACATATGTATGTATGCATGTACGTACATTTGTATATACTATGTGTCTATTTATAAATAAATATTTATTTGGTATAAAATAAGTATTAAAGTTAATTAAAAAATGGTTTATTTTATAATTTTCGCTTATGTTAAATATTTAATATTTTTCGTAATTATCTATTTGAATGTAAATATGCACTCCAAAATAAATACATATACTATAAAGAACAGCACATCAAATTACTGCACGGCGCTAAAAATAGACAATAACACAATTATGAGGCTGCAGTCGCTGATTGGTTAGTTTGTTTTCCCATTTTGCACATTGATCACAAGTATATTGTGGGGGTGGTGGAAGTGTAACCGGTAACGGCAATGCTAACTGGTTTAAAGCTTAATGGACGCTTTGTCCGTTTTAGGGCAGAGAACGGCACATTTTCAAGCCACTTTGTAACTATAGCAAAGTGTTCTAGAAACATTTGAGTGTGTGCGTGTGAATTCATGTGAGCACGTGGGCGGCAACGTTGGCGACATTAATTTCGATTTGTTTGTAAACAAATGGGAAGCGCGATGAGTAATCGATGTTATTGAAGCGGCGGCTGCATCAGCAGCAGCAGCATTACGAGCGATATCCTTTTACGGTCTGGCAACGCTATACAGCAGTCATCGGCCCTAGCAATTTAAATGTGAATATTAATTAAAAAACGTATTTCAGCAGTTGTCACGACATAGCAATACGCAAAATATTTATACGTTGATAATAAAATAAATTAAATCATGAATTACAAAAATAAAATAACAATCATCTTGGTAGCGCCCACATGGACGTTAATACCTCTGTCCAAACAATAAACTCATATTCATCGAAATTCGCGACCTTGAAGTCGACAAAGATCCCAAAATCTGCTAAGATTATTTATACATATGTATATGTATATATACGCATATATTGTCTGTGCATTTGCAATATGCGACTAAACGTTGAAATTAAGACAAACACGAAAAATTTTCCCATTCGCATACGTCGAGAATGTTCATCATCGGCCTTAGAGCTATGTATATGTACATTTTTCCTTCTATAGATCTATGAAGATACGGTGACTACTCTCTTAGACGAACATTCATGAAAGAAAATACCACAAATTTTTGTATAGCTGCATATATTCCTAATACATTGTGTGATAAAATATTTTAATATTTTTGTGATGAATTTAATATTCGAATTTTTACTGTAGCTGCCGTATATTGTATATGTATATAAACATATATACACTTGCCAGAAAAACTATGCGTACAGGCCTAACGTGTGACTTTGATAGAGAATAAATATGATAAATAATAGGATTATTATCAATATTATATTTTTTAGTGAAAAACTATTTTATAACACACATTTAACAACAATTTTTTTTAAATAATATTAAACAGTTTTTTTTTT